AAAAACATGTCCAAGTAGATCAGAGCACAAACTATAGGGAAGGAGCTTCAAAGGGAGCAGGCATGATTTAAAGGGACAGCATTGAAACATAGCTTCTGGTGAAGGAAAAAAGTGAAAAAGAAAGGAGAAGCACCCTTTGACAATTAGGTGATGAGAAAGAAAAGAAGCAAAGAGGAAAATTTAAGCCTTGCAAGATAAATGAGTATTGCAAAATTGAGCACTTTTAACTCCTCCCTCTCACCAAAGCAAACCCACAAAAAACCCACTAAACTGCCTGGTACTTTAGTACCTACTAAAGTTGCTAGATTAATGGGAGACACCTCAGCCATGAAGCATGAAAATATAAATAACAGATACGGATATTGACAAGGAAAACGCAAATGTATCATCACTTGCATATTTGTGCATGTGAAAAGTACAAAATAATCTATAGGTAAATTGGAAATAATAATTCAGTTCTGCTTCCAGCTGTGGGTGAATTGTCCTGAAACAAAACGACCTTCCCATCAAGAACAATTAGAAAAGCTGGATTTAAAAGCAAAACAAAACTCTTGCTTGAAGGACCGAAGAACTACTAAGGTAACAAGGACTTATGGGGTCCAGATCCTAGAGCAAGGGGAATTCAGGGGTGAACAGGATAGTAAAGTTTCACCTTGAGGCATTTGTTGATTCATAACTAGTGACAGAGAGATACCTAGTAGCAGAGAGGTAAGTCAAGAGGCAGAGAACTCAAGCAGAAGCTGTAGGCAGTATCGTTGGTCAGGGAAAATACAGATTTAGCCTCCATCAAGACACTGCTCAACAGTCTTTTTTTTTTTAAGTGTTTTTATTTATTTATTCATGAGAGACAGAGAGAGAGAGAGAGGCAGAGACATAGGCAGAGGGAGAAGCAGAGACATAGGCAGAGGGAGAAGCAGGCTCCCTGTGGGGAGCCTAAGGGAGGACTTAATCCCAGGATCCTGGGATCACTCCCTGAGTCAAAGGCAAGACGGTCAACTGCTGAACCACCCAAGCATCCTTCAACAGGCTTTCAGTTAGGACCCCTGAGTGGCTACATATTAGAAGTACAGGCTAATCAGAAACAAATTTTTACAAACCCAGATTCCTACTTGGTATTAGTTCCACTCCATGCTGGAGTAAGCTGACGTGCCACTACCTGAACTGCTTGCATGAAGCAGGAGTAAACTGTCTCTGGAGGGAGATATTATCTAAAGCCTCAGATGAACACTACAAATTTTAATTTATAATATACAACATCTAATTGAAAGTTAATTTTATTGTCAAGACAATATCAAAAGATGAAAGATCAGGGATCCCTGGGTGGCGCAGCGGTTTGGCGCCTGCCTTTGGCCCAGGGCACGATCCTGGAGACCCGGAATCGAATCCCACATCGGGCTCCTGGTGCATGGAGCCTGCTTCTTCCTCTGCCTATGTCTCTGCCTCTCTCTCTCTCTCTGTGACTATCATAAATAAAAATTAAAAAGAAAAAAGATGAAAGATCAAGAAAAAAAAAAAGAAACAGTCCCATAGGAGTTACAGACTTTTCATTTATCAGAAACTTTAAAATAATAGCAATGATAAATTCAAAAAGAAAAGCTGGAGAATTTTAGCAAAGATTTTTTTTTTAAGATTTTATTTATTCATGAGAGACACAGAGAGAGGCAGAGACACAGGGAGAAGCAGGTTCCATGCAGGGAACCCGACGCGGGACTCGATCCCCAGTCTCCAGGATCACGCCCAGGGCCAAAGGCAGCGCTAAACCGCTGAGCCACCCGGGCTGCCCTTAGCAAAGATTTTTAATCTTTATTTTGATCTGCACAGATTTTAGCGAAGATTTAAAAATCTATTTAAAAATGGAGGCTTTTGATTCCAGACAAAATGGAATAGATATATTTCTCTTCTATTCCTCCCAGTAAACAGAGCAAAAAACCTCATGTATTGTATACAAAACAAGTAAGACTGAGTAAGATGGAGAGAAGAAGGCAGACCAGTTAGGGACTTCAGAATCCAAGGAATGGTATGTAGTGAATTCCTTGGGTTTTCTTTCTGCTCACATATCCTATAGTGGGTGTTGCATTATACATCCCAGGCAGGGATATATATCCCATAATGGAGAAGTTGGCAATCCATAGATGCCAAAGGATGCAGACACAAAAAGCCCAGAAGAAAATACTTCTGTCGCCAAAGGACACAAAAGGGGGCAGGCTACCAAGATGGAATTGTTTTAGACAATAATTGCACTACTCCAGCCAAATGCTACCAAGAAAACAGGCCCATCTCTACGCCTTACAGCAATGGCTGACCTGGCAGCTACACTCCACCCTCACCTGACTATAAAGAAGCCAGGGTAGTGGGTGGTGTCAAAAAAGGCCCAGGTTAGGGCACCTGGGTGGCTCAGTCTGTTGAGCATCAGATTCTTGGTTTCCCCTCAGGTCATGATCTTCAACTTGGGAGATGGGAGATTGAATCCACTTCAGGTTCCACACTCAGGGAGAGCAGCTTCCCCTCTTACTCTCCTTTTCTTTCTGCCCCTCACCACCCCCCACACTCTGAAATAAATAAATATTAACAAAGAAAGCCCATATAGAGAGCAAGGACCTCCACCACAGCAGAGTGGTTATGAGGCCCCGCATTATGCTGTCAGTGGAGGCCATCCAGGGAAGCCCACCCAGAGAAGAGCAGTTAGGCACCCCAACCCACCACCTGGGTTATCATCAGAGGCCAGGGGAGAACCTGAACTTCTCTACTCTCAACATTGTAGTGACAAGGCAAGTTCCCTACCACCCCCACCAGCACAATGTCAGAGGACGCCTGCTTAAACAGAAGATTTAAATAAGATCCAGGGTCTTATAATACCTTAAAATATCCAGGATCACAACTTAAAAATAATTCATTATACCAAGAACCCAGAAAATTTAAACTTGAAGGAAAAAAAGATAATTAACAGGTGCCAATATCAAGATGACAAGATGTTGGAATTATCTGACAAGGACCTGATAAAAATATTTTAATGAGCAATTACAAATAAACTTAAATGATAAGAAAGACTCTTAGGAAAGAAATAGAAGATATGAGGAACCAAACGGAAATTTTAGATCTGGGGGCACCAGGGTGGCTCAGTGGTTGAGTGTCTGCCTTTGCTCAAGTCATGATCCCGGGATCCTGGGATGGAGTTCCACATCCGGCTCTGTGCAGGGACCCTGCTTCTCCCTCTCCCTATGTCTCTGCCTCTCTCTCTCTTTCTCATGAATAAATAAAATCTTTAAGAAAAAAATAAATTTTATATCTGAAAAATACAATAATTGAAATTAAACATCTCAGTGAATGGCCTCAATAGCAGAATGGATGGGAGAGAGGAAAGATAGGCCCGTCAGCGAAACTGAAGACAAAAATAGAAATTACCGGGGATCCCTGGGTGGCTCAGCTGTTTAGCGCCACCTTCCGCCCAGGGCGTGATCCTGGAGACCCGGGATCGAGTCCTGCATTGGGCTCCCTGCATAGATCTGGCTTCTCCCTCTGCCCGTGTCTCTGCCTCTCTCTCACTCTGTGTCTGTCATGAATAAATAAATAAAATCTGCCTCTGCTTCTCTCTCTGTCTCTCACGAATAAATAAATTTTAAAAATATTTTTTTAAAAATATTTATTACCCAATCTGAACAACAGAAAACAGACTGAAAAAAAAATTAGTAGAGCCTCAGGGATATGTACGACTCTAACAAAAGATCTAGCATTCATGTCATCAGAATCCCAGAGGGAGAGGAAAAAGAGTAAGGGACAGAAAAAGTTTTAGAAGAAACAATGGCTGAAAATTCCCCAAATTTGGCAAATGACATAAACCTAAGATTCAAGAAGCTGAGCAAATCCCAAACCAGATAAAACCAAAGAAATCCACATTAAGACACATCTTAATCAACTTTCTGAAAAGTAAAGAAAAAATCTGGAAAGCAGTACTTAGCTAGAGTAGAAAAACAATTCAAAAAACAGCCAATTTCTCATCAGAACCAAGGAGGCCAGGAGGAATTGGGCACGTTTTTCAAGTGCTAAAGGGAAAAAAAAAAAATGTGAACCTCAGATTCTACATCTGGCAACAGTATCTTTCAGGAATTAAGGGGAAACCAAGACATTATCAGATGAAGGAAAACGAGTCGAATTTGTCTCCAGCTGACCTACTCTTTAGAAACGGCTAAAGGAAGTTCTTGAAACAGAAGGGCAATGATACAAGAAGGAATCCTGGAACATCGGGAGGGAAGAAAGAAAAATGTTAAGAGTAAAGTATGGATAAATGCAGTCCACTTTCCTTCTGCTTTTGGATTCTATAAATGATGTTTGGCAGTTGAAGCAAAAATTGTAACGTTATGTGACGTGGTTCTCAATGAATGTAGAGGAAATCTTAAAGAGTCGTAAGTGGGAGTGGGTAAAGGGACAGGTGTGATTTAAACACCTCTATGGGACGTAACTCTTCTACCTTTCACTAGAACTGGAAAAATGCGGACACAAGCCAACTGCGAGGATTTGTGTGTCTTTCAGGGCGGCTTTGGACGGCTGATTCCGACAGGTTGAGGGGGCCGGATGAGGTACACGGACGCAGACGGCCGGGTAGGCCGAGGGATGCTGCCAGAGCCCGAGGGATGCTGGAGCACACGCGGAGGAGGCCGGATGAAAGGGCTCGTCTTGGGAAGAAAAGAGCCTGCGGCGCCGAGAAGGGAAAGCGGTTGGCTGAACACTGACGATGACTTTCTTCTCCGCCACGCTGGCTCCTGCTGAGAGAGGGGGTAAGCTGACCTGAGGGCGATGATGCGGGTTTGGGGCGCCGGAGAGGACAGGAGCTGCACCAGGACAGACACTCAGGTAGCGTCTGGGATTAAAACTGGTTTCCAGTCCCATTGCTGAAGAGCAGTAAAAGGATTAGTTGACCGCCGGGGGGCGGTGTCCGTGGAAACTGACGTATCCCGTCGGCCCTGGCGCCGGGGCGGAAGAAGGTGCGGAAGTGATTCTCTGGCTCGCCTCGTCTCTACTCTCCTATCCCGACTGACGTTGGACAACAAAGATGGCTGCAGGAACCAGCAATTACTGGGAAGGTGAGGGCGAGGCTTCCGTGTGCGTCTCACCAAGAGGTAGAAGGGCTGGGTAAAGACGGGTCTTGGGGGAGGCGGCAGAGGAAAGAGCCCGGCCTCCGGAGCGGCTGAGCTGACGGGTGAGGCTTCTCTAGTGGGAGCCCCTGGCCTGGGGGCTGAAGAGCCGGAACGGTCTGGGGCAGAGGGGCTGAGCCGAGAGGCAGCGAGACTTGGGACAGAGGTGGGCGGAAGGAGCTGGGCGGAGAAGGAAGGTCCTGAGTCCCTGGGGGAGAGCTGAGTTGAGGGGCCCGGCGAACTTGGACGAAGGGGCTTGGGGACGACTCTGAGAGGAGACGAGTTTTGAGCGAGAATATCCCGACCCCAGGAGGCTCGAAGAGTTCGCGTTTTAAGAGTTGCGGTCACTGTTGGACAGCGGAGTAGGATAAGGGGAAGAAGGAACTTGTCAGTCCGGTCCATCGAGGGAAGTTATATGGACGAAGCGTCTCCTCCTCGGTCCCTTTGGCAGGACTTAGGGCTGGGACTTCGAGGATTGGGTTTGGAGACTTCGAGTCGCGGTTTGGAGACTGAGGAAATAATTACCCTCTGCCGTGGAGATGGGTTTTATTAAAAAGCGAAAGTTGAGAGAACCAGTGTGAATTGCGATGATTGCATTTGCTATATACCTCTTTAGCCCCCCCCCCAAAAAAAAAAAACCTGTCTTGTGATTTGACAAGTACGTTTATTGAATTAATGAAAATATGTTCCGATAGAGTGGGCTGTTAGAAAATTCCCTCCTGGACCATGATGACGACCGAGGGTCAGAGAAGGCTCATATGTTTCTTTCCATTGTCTCTCTGCTCTATTACAATGGGAGCCACTCTCCGAAGCCTCTTGGAAACCACAAGTAACAGTACTGTCACCAGCAGCCAGTTAGTTGGTCTAAGAGCTTAGTTCCAAGTTCGTCCGTATTTGCCTTATTACACTTTCAGAATGCTTTGTTTTGTTTTGGTTTGGTTTTTGGATGTTTTCTACTAGGGAGGACAGTTCTGGTTGCAGAGAAGCATGATTATAGTTTAAAACATGTATTTAAATGCCTATTTGAAATGTGTGTGCTAGATAGAAAATATTTTTAAGTTCTGTGGAAGCGGCTGTTGGTATCCTTAATACTAGTCGTTAGGCTATAGTTTTTTGAAGCGCCATGTTGTGATAATTACAGCAGCTTGTTGTTGACATCCTACTCTGTGCCGAGGGCTTTAAGCACATGGTTACTAATGCATAGAAAAACCCTGAAGGTAGGGTCCTAGGATGGAGCCCTGCTCAGGCTGCTAGCTCAGCAGGAGTCTGCTTGAAGATTTCTGTCGTCCCCCCCCCCCCCCCCTTGCTCATGCTCACTGTCTCTCTCTCAAATAAATAAATCCCTGGGTGGCTCAGTGGTTTGGTGCCTCCCTTCGGCCCAGAGCATGATCTTGGAGTCCCCAGATCAAGTCCCACATCGGGCTCCCTGCATGGAGCCTGCTTCTCCCTCCGCCTGTGTCTCTGCCTCTCTCTCTCTCTCTCTCTGTCTCTCTCTCTCTGTCTCTCATGAATAAATAAATAAATTCTTTAAAAATAAATCTTAAAAACAAAACAAAAAGTGAAGGTTCATTGGTTCAGTAGATTTTCAATAAATCTCAGAGCCAAGTTCTCAAAATCTCAGGATGTTAGGATGAAATAAGATGCGGAGACTTGGTCTCTGGCAAAATATGCTCCACTGTGTTCTACTGCTTCCTACTTCTGGTTGCTGATAAATATATTGAAGTAATGTTTTGTAATCCTTATTCCTGAAAGATGAGGTCCTTATAATATTTCTTTATATATTTCAGCCCTTGTATTTTGAGGCCCACTTTACCATGAATGAAAGTATTCACATCTAGGGATCCCTGGGTGGCGCAGCGGTTTGGCGCCTGCCTTTGGCCCAGGGCGCGATCCTGGAGACCTGGGATCGAATCCCATGTCAGGCTCCCAGTGCATGGAGCCTGCTTCTCCCTCTGCCTATGTCTCTGCCTCTCTCTCTCTCTCTCTCTCTCTCTCTCTCTCTCTCTCTCTCTCTCTGTGACTATCATAAATAAATAAAAATTAAAAAAGATAATTATTGTTTCTTTAAGCGTCAGTTAATAACTAATTCTACTAAGAAATTCATAAGCTTTGGAATGTAAAGAGACAGGAAAACCTCAGTCGAAAACAGTGATGGGTTCTCTTTTATGAAGTTAATTGATAAGTTGATGTAATGCTGATCATAAACCATACTCAGGTTCTTTTATGATTTGTGTTGTCTTCTGTTTTCCCCCCAAATTACAAAATTTTAGTCATTGTTACAGAAACCATTTCAGGGATGTTAGAACAACAGTTGTTGCCTAGCTATCATTGGAATACAGGGGAAATTTCCACCTCTCACTGTCTCTCCATTTCATGACCCATCTGAAGTTTAAATAAGAGACAGTGTGCTTTTCTGGGGAAGTCTTTGGCTTTCTCCTTTTAACACTTTTCTTAATGGGGAATCTAGATCAATATATGATTATTTTCATAGTTTGTTTTCTTCAGAATAGTTTTGTGATTTTTATGTCTGGGTGATGGACTCTTCGTGTTTAATTATTTGCTTTTAAAATTTTGTCAAAGATCTCAGAAAACAAGCTCGACAGCTGGAAAATGAACTTGACCTGAAACTAGTTTCCTTCAGTAAACTATGTACAAGTTACAGTCACAGCGGTGCCCGAGATGGAAGACGCGACAGGTATAGGTACTACCAGATTCTGTCTCTTATGCCTTAAGCCATAGAATGTTTTTAAAATCATTAAAAAATAAGCTAAACTATGTAACTCTGTAACTCAGTCTGTTGGTGAATTTTTGGTATTTTATGTGTTTTTGTTATTTATATGTTAGTAATTTATAAAAATTTTTCTTAATTTTTGAGACTAGCATTTATTTGGGATCCTTAGGTGAAGGTTGTGATGGTGTCAGGAGGAAAATGCTAAGGCTTAAGAATGAGTCTGTATCAGAGGTAAGTTTCTAGTTTAGCCAGTGTAAGGGAATGTGGTTGATTTCCCACATTGTATTTCTTATAACTCCTGGGTGTTAAATGGATCTAAGAAACTGTTCAAATGTAAAGTATACATACTGCTATTCTGGTGTTTTATAATGAATCTAATGCAGTGTGTATCCTCACTGTTAATCATTGAAGTTGTTTTTAATTTTGGTTCTTTTTTGAGAAACCAGAACAGTATTGTATTGAACATAGGGAAAATGTATCCTTATCTTTGAATCTTATGCTCACTTTAGGCCATCCACTTGTTTAAAAAAATATTAGGAAATATTTAAGATACTTAGAAAGGTATGAAGAATAATGAATCCTCATGTGCCTGTTTTCCTCTTTAAGAAATAATCATTATCAGTTCAGTTGAAGCCCCTAATTTCCCATTTTCTGCCTCCTTATAATCTTATGTTTTTACTACATATGTTTGTGTTCCTAACAATTTGTAGTATCTTACTACAATAGTTACTTTGCAACTTGGTTTTTGTTTAACATTATCTTTGTGATTAAGCTTTGGATACGTTTAACTGTGGTATATTCATTTGCTTCATACAGCATCATATTGTGGTTGTGTTGTGTATTAAATTTGCAGATGGACATTGTTTCTAATTTTTGCTAATTAATTTAATAGCTGACACGGTGTTCATCACGTGTCAGATACTGTTGTAAGAGCTGTATATGAAGGCTGATAGGAACATTTTTACCTATAAAAATGGCACATACCTAGCAGTGGAATTGCTGGTAGCAGAGTTGTTATCCTTTATTTCACATACTTTTTTGAGGATTGGCTGTGGGTGGGATTTTTTTTCAGCCAATCATTATAAAACAATAAAAATTGAGCATGGATTTGAACCCAGGTCTTTCTGTCTCCAGAGCCTGTGCTCTAAAACTCTTTCTTTTTCAAGGTTTTATTTATTTATTTATTTACTTACTTACTTACTTACTTACTTATTTATCTGAGAGAGAGAGAGAGAGAGAGAGAGAGAGAAGGAAGCACAAGTAAGGAGGAGAGGCAGAAGAGGAGGATGAAGCAGACTTCTCACTGAGCAGGGACCCCAATGTGATACTCATGACTGGAGAAGAAGGCAGACACTTAACTGATTGAGCCACCTAGGCACCCCACTCTAAACCTTTTTATGAACATTCCAACAAAAAGATTCATTTCAACATCATAGCCAAAGTATTGCTTCTTTTAAATAAGGGCAAATTATTAAAGAATTAACGATAGCAGGGCCAACATACTGACTATAGGACCTAAAAGTAAGCTGTTGCCATGTCATATAGCTTTGGTTGCATGATGTTATTTTGGACTTGCCTTTACTTAGCAGGTAAAGAAAATGACGAAGGTTCTTTTGTATGTGTAAACTTATTTTATCATTGAAAAGCATTTTTCCTGTATTTAAGTGTCCTGCTTGATTATGCCAGTTGTTCACTTTTAGTCTATACAATTTTAAAACTCTGGATTGTCAAGAGACACAATTACATGATGCTTTTTCTATATTTTCTGTACTTCATGAATGTAATACTTCTACAACAAATTGGGACTGACTTTGTAGATTTCCTACAGCCCAACTCTCCCTTCAGTAAGAAACCTAAGGCCATGAGGATCAAAGATTCAATGTATATTCTAAAGTGTTGTTATTGCCTAGATTGAAAACATGTCATACTGAATAAACTCGGTGATGACTGGAATTTTTCATCTAGGATAAATTTTTTTTTTTTTTTTTTTTTTACTTTTTGTGTTTTGAGAACTTGATGGTCTATGGATCATCACATTAACTATAAAGTGAATTCACTTTAGCTGAATTGTAGTATTGTGGAGAGGTTTTTGACCATTTCCCTGGACTCATAGACTCTGAGAATGGTGAAAATGGAGATTGTCTCTTCATTTATTCAAGTATTTAATGAGTATCTACCATGTGCCCGACACTGTTCTAGGTGCTTGCCATACATCTGTGAACAAGCAGTTTCCCTCTTCAGGGAGCTCACATTTGTTGGCCCATTGTTCTTTTTCATATATCTGGGGAGGATCCCTATTAGTAGTATTTAGAGCATTTTTGCCTGGGCACATTCTAAGAAGTAACCATAGAACATTGGGTTAGCTCTAACATATAATAAAGAACTAGGAGGGATCCCTGGGTGGCTGAGGGGTTTGGCACCTACCTTCGGCCCAGGGCGTGATCCTGGAGTCCTGGGATTGAGTCCAGCATCGGGCTCCCTGCATGGAGCCTGCTTCTCCCCTGCCTGTGCCTCTGCCCCCCTCTCTCTCTCTCTCTCTCTCTCTCATGAATAAATAAAATCTTTAAAAAAAAAAGAACTACGTATTTGGATATATTTTAAGACAAATAAATTAGAAATAAAAATTTCACACCTAATTAAGCATTTTAAGTAAAAATCCTTTTCATTAGTTACTTTTTGGTTACTTTGTTGCCCATTACTATTGCTGTGGAATTGTATGTGGAGAGGGGAAATAGTAACCAAAGTATTTTTTGTTTTTTTTTTATGTTAAACTGATGATTTAGTCTATTTTCATTTACCACACCCAAGCACTGTCACAGGGCAGGACAAAGTCTTCAGTAAGATTGAAGAGCATTGTCATTGCCTGGGTACTTATCTGTGTTCAGTAGAACTGAGATCTCAGTTGAGCTGCTCACATGATAATGCATACCATTTGGGGACCAAATGAAGGTTAGTCGATTTTCAGAAGAGGCAAAATAAATTTTCTGAACATCTGGTTTTATTTATTTATTTTTAATTTTTAAAGATTTTACCCATTTATTCATGAGAGAGAGAGAGAGAGAGGCAGGGACACAGGCAGAGGGAGAAGCAGGCTCCATGCAGGTAGCCTGACATGGGACTCGATCCTGGGTCTCTAGGATCAGGCCCTGGGCTGAAGGTGGTGTGAAACTGCTGAGCCACCTGGCCTGTCAAGGATATCTGGTTTTAGAATTTGAATCTGTTGGGATGCCCGGGTGGCTTAGGAGATTGAGCATCAATCTTTGGCTCAGGGCGTGATCCCTGGGTCCCGGGATCGAGTTCCACATCGGGCTCCCTGCAAGGAGCCTGCTTCTCTCTCTCTCTCTCTCTCTCTCTCTCTCTCTCTCTAATGAATAAATAAATAAAATCTTAAAAAAAAAAAAGAATTTGAATCTGTCAAACAAATTTCACTTGTAAAAAGTTAGATTTTTGACTGACTATTCAGATTAGAAAACAGTTCACATTTTTGTAAAAATAACCAAAAAAACCCCTCTTGAATTGCATAATATAAGTAGAAATGTAGAAAGTTGGTACTGAAACTTCCCTGCTGGACATGGCTATCTATTTCAGCCTTAAAGCCAGTTCCTGATTACTTAATAACTAGTAATCCAGTCTGTGAATCATATAAATTTCAATTTTATTTCTTTTTGGCAAGAGTCGAGGAAAGAAAAGAGAACTTAATTTGAATAACCATTATTGCTTAGGAGTAAAAATTTGAAAGACTTCTTCACAGATGTCATGACATAATTCATAATACCTTTTATACTTTCTTTTTTATGTAGTACTACTTCTCCAGTTTTGTTACACATAATTTGTTTTTTTTAGATTCAGCATTTAATTGGGCACTGCCACAGCTTAAGTTACTTTACATTACTAAGGTTAGATATATTAAAGCTCAGAAAAACCTTATGTACAATTATACTTTATATTGGAGGTGCCCTGATGGCTCGGCTCAGTCAGTTAAGCATCCAGCTCTTGATTTCGGCTCAGGTCATGATCTAACGGTCATAAGATCAAGCCCTGTGTCAGGTTCCATACGGGGCTTGGAACCTTTTTAAGATTCTCTCTCTCCCTCTGCCCCTCACCATTCACCCATCCACCATCATATGTGTGTGTACACTCCCAAAAAAAAAAAAAAAACCCTATTTTATGCTGAATTTAATATTTAGAATGTGATTTTTCTAGAAAAGCTAGTTTCTTTTTTTTTTTTTAAAGATTTATTTATTTATTTATTTATGATATACAGAAAAAGAGAGGCAGAGACACGGGAGGAACGAGAAGCAGGCTCCATGCCGGGAGCCCAATGTGGGACTCGATCCCAGGACTCCAGGATCGCGCCCTGGGCCAAAGGCAGGCGCTAAACCGCTGAGCCACCCAGGGATCCCCGAAAAGTTAGTTTCTTAAACAGAATGTCTCTGAGGTTCCACTTGCCCTCTTTAAGAATAATTACCTTATTATTTTAAGTATGTTTTAAAGGTTTAGGTTTAAGTAATGGATTCTCTTTACTGGAACTTCTCTTTAGTTCTGACACAACACCCCTTTTAAATGGATCAAGCCAAGACAGAATGTTTGAAACGATGGCAATTGAGATTGAACAGCTTTTGGCAAGGGTGAGTACTTTCTGTTAATTGGCTGTTTTACTAGTCAGCTGTGTTAATCACTTGTTAGATATGGTACTCGATTATATTAATGCAGACATGTTTATTGAAATCACCCTTTCTTCCAAGATATGTGCCTGCCGAGGCCCCTTGAATTTTTATTATAGTCATTCTCAAGTCTTATGGGTGTTATTTTAACCTTTATGGATTATTAGGGGGGAAATACTGAATCCTTGCCTGTCATTTTGCTTTCGGGGAGGTTTTTTGTTTGCTTTGTTGTTAGCCAGAAGAGCATACAGGCAAATAATTTACTTTTATCTCTTTATAGTGCTTTTAAAAATATATTTATTGGTTTTCTTTTCCTTCCTCTTCTTTTTAGCTTACAGGGGTAAATGATAAAATGGCAGAATATACCAACAGTGCGGGTGTCCCATCTTTGAATGCAGCACTGATGCATACGTTACAGAGACATAGAGATATATTGCAGGTAATATATTGGGCTTCAGACTTTTAAGTTATTGTAGTGGGTTTTTTTAAATCCCTGAATAGAATGCGTATACATGTATTTTAGAGACTAAAGGGAAGAATCTTCTGAGACAATAAATATTATGCTATAGAAATTTGTCTTGTTTTATTTTTTCCCCCCCTTGTTATAATAAAATTCTGAAAATACCTGATAGTTCTTGCTTTTGCCTGGTAAAAATGAATAACATTCATCACTAGGTACATATACTTCTGTGGGAGACCTTGCTAGCTAGCAATAACAGTGTAAGAGCTAATGGCATGCATAGGCCACAGTATGGTGATTTAGAGTATACTTTCATCAGGCTTTGAAGATAATGTAGAAAGAAGGTAATTTACTATATTTAGTATATTTAAGAAAATATTAAATGTATACCAATAAAATGAAATAAACTCTTAAAATTTATATATACAGATATATTAAAATTTAGTACGAATAGGAAGGTAAATGTTTTTAATATTAAAAAAATTAAGTGATCATTTCTAATTTTAAAAACTGTTGTAAAAATAAGAATAGGAAGACACTTCATTTACCTAAGGTAAAATGTGTATGTCATTAAAACGAGCATGATGCTTAATGATAAAGCTCTAAAAGCATTCCCTTTAAAGAAACAAGATAAAGATATCCCCAGTCACCTCAGGTATTTAATATTGTTTTGGAAGCTCTTGGTGGTGCAATTAGACAGAGATATAAATAAACAAGATCTAAATAGTGACAAGGAAGAGGCAAAACGTATTATGTAGCAATGAAAAAATTATCTAATACAACTAAGAAAAACAACTTAAAAAATTAGAAAGAAATTAAGATGGTAGATTACAAAATTAATATAGTAAAGCAAGAAGTTTTCCTATATATAACCAATAACCTGTTAGAAAATATAATGGAAGAAACTAAAATCCTTGTATATAAATTTAATAAGAATGAATAGGATTTGCATGTATAAAACTTTACTGAGATTGGGCCCCCGGGTGGCTCCAGTGAGTTAAGTATATACCTTCGGCTCAGGTCATAATCCTAGAGTCCTGAGATTGAGCCCCACTTTGGGCTTCCTGCTCAGCGGAGAGCCTGCTTCTCCTTCTCTCTCCACTGCTTCCCCTACTTGTACACATGCTCTTTCTGTCAAATAAATAAAATCTTAAAAAAAAAAAAAAAACTTAGTAAAATGAAAGTAGATTTAAGTAAAGGAAAGAATCACTCTGCCTTTGGATAGGAAGATTTCTCTCTAAATCAGCCTATAAGTTGAGTCCCTCCAAATGGAAAAAGAGTTTTTTGTTTCTTTTCTCTTTTTCTTTTCTTTTTTTTTTTTAACTGCCGAAATGACAACAAAGTTCATTTGGAATCACAAACATACAAGTGCAACCAAGGGAAAAAAAAAATGTGTTGGGCAGCCTGGGTGGCTCAGCGGTTTAGCACTGCCTTCAACCCAGGGCATGATTGGGAGACCCGGAATCAAGTCCTGCATCGGGCTCCCTGCATGGAGCCTGCTTCTTCCTCTTCCTCGGTCTCTGGTCTCTGCCTCTCTCTTTCTCTCTGTGTCTCTCATGAATAAATAAAATCTAAAAAAAAAAAAAAAACCAACAACAAACGTGAAAATGAAGGTAAGTAGTAAAGAGTGCCTAATTCTCCCAGATATTAAAACCTGTTAAGAAGTTAGAAGAATTAAGACAGTTTGATTCTGGGCAGCCCCAGTGGTGCAGCGGTTTGGCGCCGCCTGCAGCCCAGGGTGTGATCCTGGAGACCCGAGATCGAGTCCCATGTCGGGCTGCCTGCGTGGAGCCTGCTTCTTCCTCTGCCTATGTCTCTGCCTCTCTCTCTCTCTCTCTCTCTCTGTGTGTGTCTCTATGAATAAATAAATAAATAAAATCTATAAAAAAAATGTTGGATTCTGGAGAAAAAAAAATACCAATAGAACAGAGCAGACATAGAAATTAAGTTAAAAGTGGTATCTTAAATGAGTAGGAACAAGAGGTATCGTAAATTAAATAGACCTGTAGCAGTCAGCAAATTGTGTGGAGAGAGGGGACAAACTTGAATTTCTGTCTCAATCCTCACATCCAGAATAAATTCTAAATGGATCAAAGACTTATATGTAGAAAAACTATAGGAGTTTAGAATGGGTGAAATTAAACATTGTAGAAATTATACATTTTTAAACAATACCTAATAACAGAACCTATAATGAGTGTCTAATTTGCTTAATGTACAGAAATAATAGAAATTTAAAAAGTAACCTAATAAGAAAATGAGCAAAGGATACAAACTGGCTGTTGACAGATAATGTCCAAAACTGTAAAAAGATGTTCAGCCACATGCTGAAAAGAAAATATACGAATCAAAATGAGAAAAGATTTTTCACCTGTCAGAATAGTTAGCAAATATTGAAGAATAGCTAGCAAATATTGAAGCATCTAGTAGCGTATTACAAGAATATAGAAAAATGAGCCCTCATTCACTGTTGCTGGGAACATGAATTGGTGGTCTATCTATGTATTGATGGGTTAGTACTATCAATTTTAATATAAGATTCTTTAATCCACTTCTCTTCACACTTTAAAAAGAGGAGTTAAGGGCAGCCCCGGTGGCACAGCAGTTTTGCACTGCCTGCAGCCCAGGGTGTGATCCTGGAGACCCTGGATCGAGTCCCACATCAGGCTCTCTGTATGATGCCTGCTTCTCTTTCTGCCTGTGTCTCTGCCTCTCTCTCTCTGTCTCTATGAATAAATAAATAAATAATCTTTTTAAAAAAATACATGCAGCCATGTTAAAAAATAAAAATTAAAAAAATAAATGTTTAAAAAATAAAAATAAAATAAAAATAAAAAGAGGAGTTAAGTATGTATACAGAATATTTATTTTTCAAATGGCATTTTTTAAGACTAAAGTAACTAAAATGTTTACTAATAGGGTGTTTACTAAATTATGATAGTCATAGAATTCTGTACAGCTATTAAAAAGAACATAGATTTTTTTTAAAGATTTTATTTATTTATTCATGATATATATATATAGAGAGAGAAGCAGAGACACCAGCAGAGGGAGAAGCAGGCTCCATGCAGGGAGCCTGATGTGGGACTTGATCCCGGGAATCCAGGATCACACCCTGCGAAGGCAGGCACTAAACTGCTGAGCCACCCAGGGACCCCGATTTCTATTTGTTAATATGAAAAGATTACTTGATATTTTATGAACTACTGGAAAGACAGTATATAGCAGAATACCGCTGACCCTTGAACAATGCAAGGATTAGGGGTCTGACATCCCACCTCTCCACTCCTGTGCAGTTGAAAATTTGCATAAAACTTTTGCCTTCCTTAAAAACTTAAGTACTAATAGTCTATTGTTGACTAAAAGCCTAACATAAACAGTTGGTTAACACATACTTTGAATGTTATACATATTATATACTGTATTCTTACAATAAAGTAGAAGAGAACGTGTTATTTAAAAATAATAAGGAAAATATATTTGCAGAATTGTAGTGGACCTGTGCATTTCAAGTCTGTGGTGTTCAAGAATCAACTGTAGTTTGATTTCTTTAGCACAAATGAAAGAAATAATAAGTAAGCTGGTATACACAGAAATGTAGTTCCTGAAAGAAAATAGAAGAAAATGATCATAGTTATGAGCTTTAGAACAGGATGGTTTTTATTTTTGTTCCTTTTGGTGCTCTTTTTATTTTTATTTTTTTATTTTTTAATTTTTTTTAATTTTTATTTATTTATGATAGTCACAAAGAGAGAGAGAGAGAGAGAGAGGGAGGCAGAGACACAGGCAGAGGGAGAAGCAGGCTCCATGCACCAGGAGCCCGATGTGGGATTCGATCCCAGGTCTCCAGGATCGCGCCCTGGGCCAAAGGCAGGCGCCAAACCGCTGCGCCACCCAGGGATCCCTGGTGCTCTTTTTAGTATGCGCTCCATTTTTATTTATATTTTTGTGTTCAGAGAGGCAGTAGGGGCTTTCTGGGAGATGAAATTATGATTTTCATCTTCTCTGTATGCATCTCTGAATTTTAAAAACTTAGGATACTCCTTAATTACTTAACAGTATGGTAGTAGAGAAAGGAAAATATTTATTTATTTATTTATTTGTTTGTTTGTTTGTTTGTTTATTTATTTATTTATGGATTTTATTTATTCATGAGACACACACAGAGAGAGAGAGGCAGAGACACAGGCAGAAGGAGAAGCAGGCTCCATGCAGAGAGCCTGATGTGGGACTTGATCCACGGTCTGCAGGATCACGCCCTGGACTGAAGGCAGCGCTTAAACCGCTGACCCACCAGGGCTGCCTGAGAAAGGAAAATATATAAAGATTATTTTGTTCTTTGTAATTCTTTTGGTTCTGTTCTTCCTTTGACTGGTTTAGAAATTAAATTTCTGTGGGAATTCCAAAAAGATGAAATTTGAAAGTAAGCTCCATTGGATGTACACTAATAAGTAGAGAGAACCCCTCAAAGTTTTATCCTAGGCTATTTGGAATCATTTTATCTTGAAGTTATTTTTTTTCTTTATAATTCTGTCCCATAAGACAAAGTACTAGAAGATACAAGGGATAGCGATCTAGTGGTACTATTACCCCAACACTGAACTGTTTTCATTTAAAAGAAGTTGGTCACTCTTCAGGAAAGGGACTATAATGTTGTTTACCTCGTGACTATTTGATTCTTAAATAGCAATTTTCTTGACAGTAACTTAGATGATGACAGTATATAATTGGTTCAATAAGATGAAAACATATAAAGAGCTTATGTTGAGATTGGATGTTGATTTATTGCAGGATTATACACATGAATTCCATAAAACCAAAGCAAACTTTATGGCAATACGGGAAAGGGAAAATTTGATGGGATCAGTACGAAAGGATATTGAGTAAGTTACCTTTTATGTTACTTTGTAGGATGTTGAAGCTCTCTGTGTTTCCCTTTCTGATAACCACCTATCCTAACAGTTACATATATATATGTATCTCAGAGTAATTTATATATATGTATATGTATAAATTTATATATATGTATGTATATGTGTGTATATATATATGTGTGTGTGTGTGTATAAAGAAAGAAACTTTTATTTCTCTGGAATTTGAAATATTTGTTTTCCAGGTTTTATTCAGACTTCATAGCCATGTCAAATTATTTAAGAACTCCCAATGTTTTTATGCTAATCTCAGTCTATAACTTTAAAGATTTGTTCTTCCATCCGTTTACCTTACGTTCAATAATGCATTCTAGCATTTCATATGCACATTAAAATTTTTTTTCTCAGAGTGCCTGGGCAGCTCAGTCAATTGAACATCCGACTCTTGATTTCTGCTCAGGTCATGATCTTGGGGTCATGGGATCAAGCCCCTGTTGGGTTCCACACTTAACAAGGAGTCTGCTTGTTCCTCTCACTCTGCTTCTCCCCTCACTCTCCCACTCCCTCTCTCTCTCTTTCAAATAAATAAGTAAAATCTAAAAAATAAAAAATAAATTGTATTTTACAATTGTAGATCTGTTGGGCAGCTAATTAAACGTGAAGACTTTCCACTTTTGGACCATCTATTGATGCTTGTCATTGTCTCACTTGTGATAATTTAACTTTTTTTTTAAAGATTTTATTTATTTATTCATAGACACAGAGAGAGAGAGGCAGAGACACAGGCAGAGGGAGAAGCAGGCTCCATGCAGGGAGCCCGATGTGGGACTCGATCCCGGGTCTCCAGGATCACACCCCAGGCTGCAGGCGGCGCCAAACCGCTGCGCCACCGGGGCTGCCCTAATTTAACTTTTTTTAAAGATTTTATTTATTTACTCATGAGAGACACTCAGAGAGAGGCAAGACATAGGCAGAGGCAGAGTCAGGCGCCCTGCAGGAAGCCTGATGCGGTACTCGATCCCGGGACTCCAGGATCACAACCCGAGCCGAAGGCAGATGTTCAACCACTGAGCCACCTAGGCATCCCTTGTGATAAATTTATGGTACTTATGTTTCATAAGTAATGATTATCTTATGTTTCATAAACATATCTATAGTATACATCACCATATCATAATCTGATATGTACCATGTATACTCTGAGAAATATTTTCCTAGAGATCCTTTATTTTGTTCGACAGTAAGATAGTTTTGCAACAGAAGTAATTTCATATTCATTTCATTCAGAATTTTTGTTCAAAACTAATTGAGGATTACCCAGCCATCAAAGTTATGCTCCTGTCCCCAAAAATTATCTTGGAAAGTTAATTTTTATTGTTCTGTTTTTTGAATGTTTAGTCTTATGTACTTTGTGAAACATGTGGGAGTAAAAAAAAGCAACATTTTTGCCATAATTAGATAGATATTTTGTAATATTTATAGTTCTCAGGAACATGTAAGTCTTCTACTTAATACCTGTACAGACTATTCATGTACGTATTTTTAGGAATACATTGAGAACCGGTGTTGAGGCAAATTTGTGGGAATTGTTAGAATATAGCCCACTATAATAACTTGCTTTCTGAAAAATAATCATAAAAGAAACATGTTCATCCATTCATTAAACTATTTTCTGATTATCAGCCATGAGTAAGACTCTTGATCAGTCACAGTAGAAGCTAGAAATGAAAAGACCAACTTAGCCCTCTAGGAGTTTATAATCTGGATACTAGAGAGGACTAAGACATGTACTCAGGTTAATATAATGCAAAGCAGAATATGATTAGTAAGATGAGATATAGTAGTAATAACTGACATTTTAAAGTTCTTTGCAATTGTACACTTTTCCATATATTACCTCTTTTCTGGCTTCATATAGTTTTTTGGTCTAGATAGAAATTATTAGTACTAGGCAGCCTGGGTGGCTCAGCAGTTTAGCGCCGCCTTCAGCCCAGGGCCTGATCCTGGAGACTTGGGATCGAGTCCCACATCAGGCTCTCTGCATGGAGCCTGCTTCTCCCTCTGCCTGTGTCTCTTCCTCTCTTTCTCTCTCTTTCTTTCTCCCTGTGTCTCTTCCTCCCTTCCTCTCTCCCTCTCTCTCTCTCTCTCTCTCTCTCTCTCTCTTTCTCTCTCTCTCTCTGTCTCTCATGAATAAATAAAATCTTTAAAAAAGAAATTATTAGTACTAAATTATAAAACTAGGTATTAAGAGACTTGTCAAAGGTTAACTGGCAAAAAAAAAAAAAAAAAAAGGTTAACTGGCTAATAATAAATGATGCCAGTATAGATTTAAATCTAAATCACCTGTCTTCAGGGCCCCTGGCTGGCTAGGTTGGAGGAGTGCATGGCTCTTGATCTCTGGGTTGTGAGTTTGAGCTCCATGTTGGATGTGGCAATTACTTTAAAAAAAAAAAAAAAAAAAAGAAGAATCATCTGTCTTGCAAGTTCTATGCGTTTTTGGTTATCTCATGATGCTTTCTTTTCCTGGGGTTTCTTTCCTTCTCTGCTTTGCAAATTAGCACTGCCTCTTAGCAAGCAGTTCAGTTTTATCAGCATGGCCCTCTTTTGTCTTCCTATATGTGCCGTTTCTTGAATTTTTTTTTTAAAGATTTCATTTATTTTTTTGAAAAAATGAACAAGCAAGAGCACAAGCAGAGGGGAGAGGCAGAAGCAGACTCCCAAACAAGCAGGGAGCCTGATGCAGGGCTCAATCCCAGGATCCTGGAACCTTGACCTGAGCCAAAGACAGACGCTTAACCAACTGAACCACCCAGGCGCCCCAGTTTCATGAATTTTGCATTTAGTTTTTGTTATTTTAACATGAGTAAAGAGCAGAAACATGAGTGTTGATAGTAATGATAAAAAATTATTTTCTTGTAAATTTTAGTGCATTTACAGCCAAGACAAATGCCAGAATTGGCAGATCTCAAGCTTCATTTTAGCTCCATAGGCTTTAGCTGATAGACTACATATACCATTGTGAAGGGAAACATTCTATAGCAGTAGCTTCCTACCCCATATACTGTGTAGTAACCAGTTAAAATTTTATCTCCATTTGGAGAAAATTAAGATACAATAATAGAAAAAAAATAATAACAGCAATAGTAAACAGAGGAAAAGATTTTTGTTTGTTTAAAATGTTGGATTAGGGGGATCCCTGGGTGGCTCAGCGGTTTAGTGCCTGCCTTTGGCCCGGGGCAGGATCCTGGGGTCCCGGGATCAAGTCCCGTGTCGGGCTCCCGGCATGGAGCCTGCTTCTCCCTCTGCCTGTGTCTCTGCCTGTGTCTCTGCCTCTCTCTCTCTCTATGTCTATCATGAATAAATAAATCTTTAAAAAAATAATAATAAAAATAAAATAAAATGTTGGATTATTTTGGTAAAAAATAAACACTTAGCCCTAAATTAGAGAGGCAATTATATTTTTCTATTTATTATGGATGTCATTTTTAGAAGATGAAAATGACATTTTAGCTGTTCACTCAAAACAATAGGCTCAATTTGTCTACTTTGGTTATTACTGGAGTTGATCACTTCTATTTTGCAGTATCTGCCAAAAATGTTCTTAAATTTTCTGTTTTATTCTAGGTCATATAAAAGTGGATCTGGAGTAAACAACAGAAGAACTGAACTATTTTTGAAAGAACATGATCACCTTCGAAAGTAGGTATTATTGTATACATACATGCCGTGTGGCTTCTCATGCTTACAAATTCCTTTGTTGATGTAACAAACATTTTGTGGTGTTTTTTATAGCAAGTGGTTTATCAGTGCTAATTCATTTAATTCTCCTAAGAACCCTATTTGGTAGAAATGGAATTGTAACTTTTCTAGCTGTTAATTAGGAAAGATACTATGCTATGGAATATCCAAAATCTGCATTCACATCACTTAGTTTTTACTTTTATCTTTTTATCCTTAATGTTCTTTTCTTTAGCAAGTCAATCCATCTAATATATTTGTTTGGTACTGTTGATTAGTAGTAATGATAGTAGTAATGATGCTGATAATAATTTATGTTTGAATGCCCTGTTACCACTTATATATGCCAAGAAGCTTTATAACAGGCCATAGGTCAGATCCAAAGAAAATATCTTATTATCTAAGAATTCAGAAGAAAAGCCTAAAAATGAACTCTGTTTTAAAAACAAGTCACCATATTCTATCCCTTTTTCATGTATGTTTTTCACTGCAAGCTACTGGTTTCTTTAATATTTTCTCTGCATTTTGTTGTAGAACTTAGAGGTCAGAAAGTTACTCCTCTCTGTGAGCTTAGCCTCTAAGCTGTTGAGCAGCTAGTATCCACAGTAATTAAACGTTACAAATTATGTTGATATTTGCTGCTAAATGTCATAAATTAGTCATGTCTGAAGGATCTTAATGTACTGTTCAATTTATTTTTCTTTAAAGATCACCACTTTAAATATAAGCTGGTGAAATCAGAACATGGAAAAAGACCTTTTTAGAAGTCTGGGTTCTTGTAGTGTTGGATATAGTTCTTAGTGTCCTTTCTTAATCTGTTGAATGTTATTGATTGGCACAAGGGGGCAGTCTTTCCTAGAGTATGTTTAGTTTATAGTTACTCCTAGCTTTGGTAGTTCTTTTTATATTTGATAAAAACCACCATTTTGCGTTACATCCAAAACTATATTAATACATTCTTTAGTTACAGAGTAGATTTGAGGGATAAGACACTCAAGTAGCACAAAGTAAAGGTTAAAATTGCATCAGTGTTTCTGTATTTATTGCTTCAAAAAGATGTTAAAAAGTTAGAAATGAGGGTGCCTGGGTGGCTCAGTTAAGCGTCTGCCTTCGGACCCAGGTCATAGTCCTGAGGTCCTGGGATTGAGCCCCATGTCAGGCTCCCTTCTCCATCTCCTTCTGCTGCTCCCCCTGCTTGTGCTCTCTCCCTGTCAAATAAATAAAATCTTAAAAAAAAAGAAAGAAATGCTGTAGTTGAATTACTTTAAGAATAATTTGTTGCTGTAGTATACCAGAGTAATGATATAAATTAATATTGTTTATTTCCAGTAATTTCCAAACACTGTTTTTTTTATAAATTATATATGAAAATTTGCAGTTTTGCCTTCATTTTGACAATTCAAAGAAAACCCTTCAGGAGTTTTATATTGTTCATTTTACAGGAAAAAAATAAATCAGTTCAGGAGCATATAACAAATAATTTAGGGTTATAAAAATGAGAAGATTGGAAATCAAAAGGCGTTTTCCATTTTTTCTCAGTTTTACATATGATATACTTTATATATATTCCTTTCAGTATTTTTGTGAAAAAGTTTATATGTGTTCATTCTGTACAGAGAGAAGCAGGCCAGATGAATTGTATGGAATATGAGCTTCTGATGAATTAGGGAAGTTGTTGGGACTCCTGGGTGGCTCAGCAGTTGAGCGTCTGCCTTTGGCTCAGGGTGTGATCCTGAAGTTCCAGGATTGGGTCCTGCGTCGGGCTCCCTGCATGGAGCCTGCTTCTCCCTCTGCCTATGTCTCTGCCCCCACCCCTCTCTCTCTCTCTGTCTCTCTGTCTCTGTCTCTCATAAATAAATAAATCTTAAAAAAAAAAAAAAGAATTAGGGAAGTTGTTGAGACCAAAAGCAAGGGCTCAATCATTGCTCTCAACATTGGAACACAGCTTCCAAATACATTTTGGGAAAATCAATCTTTTGTGGGTAAATTATAAATATTTGTTAGGTAATAACATAAAATCATAGATGATCAGTGTACAAATAATATGGAAAGCTTTTTCTGTTTTTTCAGTGTTATCTCTATGTCATTGGCTAAGTGCTTTAGGGAAGAATTGGCAAGATCTTTTCAGAACTTTTTCCTTACAGAAGCTAGAAGTGCTCTTTATAATAAAAGTACTCAGAGTAGAAAGTATGAATAACACAAAAAAGACAATTCAAATCTCTTGTTAGTACAGATTCTGTGACCATTTTTTACTGGTAGATTGGGAGCCTTTTTGCATGTTATTTGATAAATTATTGGTTTATTTTTGCATATATCTCATAATACAGACCAAGATGTAACCATTTCCCTAATGTTGGCTTTTTGGATTATATTCAGTTTTTATTTCTTTATGATTCTTAGAAATGGAATATATTCATTTGTAAAGCTTTTGATATATTATCAAATTATCTTCTAAAGGTTTGCTAGAGTCTCATTAGTAGCAAATATGTAAACATTCCCCAGTGCCTTCAGTAACACTGATATTTTGAATTTTTTTTAATTTATACCAAGATAGGGATCCCTGGGTGGCACAGCGGTTTAGCGCCTGCCTTTGGCCCAGGGTGCGATCCTGGAGACCAGGGATCGAATCCCACGTCGGGCTCCCGGTGCATGGAGCCTGCTTCTCCCTCTGCCTATGTCTCTGCCTCTCTCTCTCTCTCTCTCTCTGTGACTATCATAAATAAATATAAATTTAAAAAAATAATAATAATTTATACCAAGATAGGCAAAAATTCTCCAGTAATAGACTTTTTTTTAAAATACAAGGGATACATTTTCATTAGAGAAAACATAGGTTAAGCAGCCAAACAAAAGAAGCATAAAGTAGTAGTAGTTAAATTAACCTAAAAGTGATTATAGAAACCTGTAGTGATTATAGATTATATAGTTCATTTGTAATTAAAAGGCCAGATTTGCTACTAGGGTATTTCTTTGATATTTTTTATTTTGATATTTCATGAATAAAGATTTTTAATATCCAGTAACTCAGGTAACTAGTTTGATTTTGTACAGTAACACTGGACTTTTTATGGCTAGAAGCAAATGTAGATTTTTATTTGATTCTTCATAACATTTTTTATGGTAATGTACACTTCTACACTTGTTTCAAAAGTACATATTTTTGCCTTGAAAAAGAATAAAACAAGTTTTAGAAATGAATGCCAAACTTAAAAAAAAACAAACCCTAACTTTGTAATTGTTTTTACCAGTTCCCATTAATACATTTTGTCTAAAAATAAATGTTGTTAGCTTGTAACAATTTATCTTATGAAAGGCAATAATTTCTCTTCCTGTGGATAAAGTAGCTTTCATTTTTGACTTGTTATTCTCTGTGTCTGTTTTCAGTACATCAGTCAGAAGAAAATGCTGACTTTGAATTAGCGTCAAGCTTGTAGCTATTTGTTTTTTACTGGGCTGTAATGTAGATGCATTTCTCTGAGCTCTTTGCTTGCTTTTTAGATTGATTTCTCTTCCTTTAACCATTTTCTTTCATTGTTCTTTATATTTTCCTTTTTGAAAGAAGTATCTGAATTAGTTTTCTGTTTTTAAAGTTCTTTTTTTTCCTTAAAGAACTATTACCAGGATCCCTGGGTGGCGCAGCGGTTTAGCCCAGGGCACGCTCCTGGAGACCCGGGATCGAATCCCACGTCGGGCTCCTGGTGCATGGAGCCTGCTTCTCCCTCTGCCTGTATCTCTGCCTCTCTCTCTCTGTGTGACTGTCATAAATAAATAAAAAATTAAAAAAAAAGAACTATTAAAAAAAAAAGAACTATTACCATTATGATGTCTCTCATCCTTTACTTTTAAAGGATGTAGTTTTAACATATGTGTATTTTTGTATTAGTAGTCATTTCCTTTCTGTCACTGAATAATTTCTACTGTATGATATATCTTGGTGGATACGTAGGTTAATGTTTTAGTTTTGGACTATTATCAATAACGCTGGTATGACCACTCTTAGACAGTTTCGTGTGGCTATGTTTTCATTTCTCTTGAGTAATTACCTAGGAGTTGAATTATTGGATTATATGGCAACAGTAAGTTTATGTTTTGTTTTATAGGAAACTGTCAGACATTAAGTGGTTTTATCATTTTTGCATTCCTGACAATCCTATATTGAACTTTCCAGTTACTTTAAATCCTTTCCAGCATTTGATAGTGTCAGTCCTCTTAGCTATTCTAATAGATGTGTAATTGTATCTCATTGTGGTTTTAATTTGCACTTCTCTATGACTAATGATAAACATCCTTTCAAGTGCTATATGCCACTTGTTTATCTTTAATGAAATGTCCATATATTTTGTGCATTTTTTAATTGGGCTGTTTATCTTTTTATATTGAGTTTTGTTTTGTTTTTTTCTACTACTGAGTTTTAAAAATTCTTTCTGTATCCTGGATACAAGTTCTTTGTCAGAGGTTTTGCAGATATTTTCCTTGAGGCTCGGACTTTTTTCATTTTCTTTTTTTTTTTTTTTTTATTTTTACTTATTTATGATAGTCACACACAGAGAGAGAGAGAGAGAAAGAGAGAGAGAGGCAGAGACATAGGCAGAGGGAGAAGCAGGCTCCATGCACCGGGAGCCCAACGTGGGATTCGATCCCGGGTCTCCAGGATCGCGCCCTGGGCCAAAGGCAGGCGCCAAACCGCTGCGCCACCCAGGGATCCCCCATTTTCATTATGGCTTCTAAAAGAGCAGAGGTTTTACATTTTGATGAAGTCTAGTTAATCAGTTTTTCTTTTATGATTCATGTATTTTCAGACTGAAAAATCTTGACCAAAGTTTGCAAATATTTTGCCCTTTGTTTTCTAACAGAAGTTTTACAATCTTAGCATTTTTACTTCATTTTTGTATCTAGTGAGTTAAGGTCAAGATTCATTTATTTACCACATGAATATCCAGTTGTTTCAGGACTGTTTATTG